AAAGCAGCGGGGAAGAGCCGGGACTCAACTTTCCCTTTCAAATACTGCTGCTCAAAGAGAGGAAAATGGTGAGCTGATAAACGCAACTAATTGTGAACTCTGGGAAGTGTGTGAGTGTACCCCTTAGGACAGAAGGGGAAGGAACTCGAGGGGCTTTGACTGACCTTGGGGTTAACTGCCAGGCTTGCTTATCAAACAGAAGAGTCAGTCTTCGGGTATTGCCAGTACCCGTCCACCCAGTGCCTAAGAGCATGTGCAGGCATTTGAGTGACTGATGAGACCCAGACGTTGGGGGAGACGCCCAGACTGTGAGGCAGGACTCAGACTCTTTTGACTTCTTCCCAAATGGAAAAAAAGGAAACCTGTTATTCAGGGCCCACTGTCCAGGGCTGGAAAAGTGATGGCAGAGGAAATAGGGGTGCTGAGAGAGAGGACATGGGAGAAAGCAGAAGCCAGTTCTGACATGACAGTTTCCAGACAGCTGCACTGTCCCTCCCTGGAGTGCAGACACAGGCAGGGACCTGCATGCAACAAGCAGGGGCTGCGGCTCCCAATAGCTGCTTAGGTGAGCCAGAGCGCTTTCTAAAAAAAAGCTGGAATCTGAGATTGGTTCTCCACATCATGTGGAACCACCTTATGATTATTTCCTCCTTTATTCATCTGTTTAAGATGGGGTGTTGCGGGACTTGCCAGTAGTGGGAAGAAAGAACACGAAACACGTGGACCAGTAGCTGATGTTTATACTGGGGATTGAGGGTGGTCAGGTCAAAAAGGAGTGTTTTTCACCCTTTTCATTTCCCCTGGGGATGTTTGACCTTTCCCACCATCACTGAGCTGCTTGCTTCCCTTTTTGCTCCAAACTCCGAGCAGAAGTACCTTCTCAGCTCAGGCCAGAGGTAGGTTACCTTAGAGGGGAAGCCCAAAACCTGTGGGGCAGAGAAGGGAAACTAAAGGAAAAGTGTCAGGGGCAGCTCCCTGCTTCTCCCCCTTCCCTCTAGTAATGCCTTCTCCATGAGTTAACAGATACCCTTAGAATTCCCACCCTCAACAACTCACGTTCTCCTCGCATTGCCAAGATGTGGCCCGCTTATCTGGCGTCAGGGGGGTTTACTCAGGGGCTCAGCTCCTTACTGACTCACCTGGTCTTTGAGACCTTTGAAACATTCTCGATCAGATTTTTCCCCCAACATTTCCCATTCCAATCCAAAAAATTTCAGTGCCAGAAGACTTCACCTTGTTTCTCATGGGACCCAATTCCACATCCAGCCTATGGGTACTAAGATTGAAGTCTAACCAGAGTTCCAGAAGCATTGGCAGTAGAGGTCTGAATGGACCACACATCATGTAGTGGAGAAAATTTCAAATTAGGAGATCAGTCATAGACATGAGCTGGCCTGGCTCAAGCTCAGTAACACACACTTGGGAAGAAGCAACATCAAAGAGGTGAGTCACCTACCGCTATTCCAGTGGCCAGACCTGGTGCACCTGTGCCCTGTGGCTGCTGTAAGGGGCATATTGGAGCTGGACATTGACTTCAGGGGAGAGGTGAAGACTACTGTGAGCATTTGAGAACCACTTGGCTTGGTTTTTAAATTTATTTTGGTTTGTGCAATTGCTCTGGATTATTCTCTCCCAACATCGTATCTTTGCTGAGCTCATGAGTACTCAATATGTGCCCAGGGCATGTTTCACAGAAACTGGAGGCCTTCCCTTTATTCATACCAGCTCATGCAATAAGAACTTGATCTTAGAACTTAAAGTACTAGCGTGCTTTCCTGAACTTACTTGTCTTCACAAGGAAGTATATCAGAGAAGGCTACTCAGGATGCTAGAGTATCACCCAGCTACTAGTCTGCATCTTCACATCATCACTTGAAGCATTTTTTCTTTTTTGCTAAAGAGAAAAGTCAACAGACCAGAACAAGGATAACAAATCAACAAGAGCTTTTTTTTCCCTGTAAAATCCATCTTTTTATTTATTTATTTATTTATTTATTTATTTATTTTGAGAGGGCATCTCATATTTATTGATCATATGGTTGTTAACAACAATAAAATTCTGTATAGGGAACTCAATGCACAATCATTAATCAACCCCAAGCCTAATTCTCAACAGTCTCCAATCTTCT